GACCTGGGCATTCTAAAAGATTTATGATGCTTTCTGTTCATTGCAGGTGCCCTGAAAATGAATTAAAACCTGTGTGAAGTAATTAAATTGTTAGGAAGAGAAACAATATCCCAGTTCTCTAGCTGGGGGCTTCAGAGAAAGAATCTATGCTTTAAAGATTATCTCAGTTGGGTTGCACATTAGGATCAGTGGCCAGGTAGATTCTAAAAGTCCATATGCCTAGGTCCTACTCATAGATCAGATGTTTCAAAATTAAAAATATTTAAAAAGCTTTCCCCAGGTGATTATAATATGCAGTATGGGATGGAAACAAGCAAAACTCCAGGAAAGTTCATCCAGTTGATTTGTGTCTTAGAGCCATGCTCTGCTCCCCCATGGTGAACAATAGACCTGCAGAGAGTGACAGTCTCAGTCTTATGGTGGGGGTCCTGGCAGTTTTTCTGCTTCTAGTTTGTAAGGAAGATGGGTAACAAAAATAAGGCAGAAGAGTTATTGGAAAGTGCCACTCCATGTAGACATTTCCTGAGGGAATATTAATGATTTTCAGTTTTCCTTATAGGAAATCCTTAGAGCCATTTCTATGGCCAGCAACTTCAGTAACATGCCATACCAACAAAAACCGTGCATTATGAAGGGTGAGTCCAGTTGGGAGCCCTGTGTTGGATGCATAGTGAGCCCAGTTCCCTGGGTGATGAGTCCTCTTTGGGTCTTCTTTAAAGAAATGGGAATAGGTATCGAGGAAGGGAAAGGTGAGAGGGCAAGAAACAGTCACCCATCCTGGGTCAGACTTGCTGCCATGTGACTTTGGGAAGAGGACCCCAACGCCATCGAAGTTCTTCCCTCCGCACATCTAGTCTCTTCTCTCAAATCAGGCAGGTAGATATTCACATGAGCATGTCTGAATGGAAGGGAAAATGGGAGAAGAGGAAGAAGAGCCTTTTTGGGGGGCTTGTTTTCCTATGTAGTATCAGGAATATGTGGATCATGAAAATGTGGCGATTAACAAACCATTTGGATAGGACCTAGCTAGAAACCATAGCGATAATATCCACTGTGTGCCTAATTAATGTTGGGACGAGGTTAAGTACAAAAATTAGTGTATGCTGTTTAATCTTAAGAGGCAAATAAATTAATAGACCTATTTTATTTTTGTTCTTTTTCCAGTTTCGTTCCTTTATTCTTTTTTTTTTTTCACTCTTTTTTTGGTTGGTTGTACAGATTAACGAGGTTTCATTTTGGCAAATTTGTGCATTGACATGGCATATTGTGATCATTTCACACCCTGTCATCACCCACTTTCTCTGCCCCCCATATTGTCATGTTTCTTGGGGGAATTTCAGTGCATATAATGTATTTTGTTCAAATCTATTTTCCTATTACCTCCCTCTCCCTTAGTTCCTTTTTCTTGTGAAATAATAGTTTCCTTTCTACTTTCTTGTCATCTTTTTAAGATTCCACATATTAGGGAGAACATGCCATATTTGTCTGAATGGCTTATTTCACTCAGTATAATGGTCTCCAGATCCATCCATTTTCTTGAAAATGACAAAATTTTGTTCTTCTTTCTAATACTGCATTACATATAAATTGTCCCACTTTAGAGATATTAAAACTAAGGCTTAGTGAGGTGAAGTCATTTGTTGAAGTCACAAAGTTGGTGAACTGTGTAGTTCAGCATACAGGTTTGGGCATGCTAGTTTAGTTATTTCACTCAAGTTTTAACTCATTTCGAGGTTGTGCATAGCGAACACCATCTCTCTATATGTAATTTTCTATTTCCAGGGAATAGAGATGTACATTAAAGGAGAGAAAGTTTTGGAAATCATAAATATGCACAAGGATTCTTTGTAGTTAGAAATCAGTTGTATACTTTCGTCCCATAATACTGAAAAATTCCTGGGGACAATTAGAACTTACTGACATTTTTTTATAATGGAGTTAACAATAAAAATTTGTTATGGAGCTTCATCACTAGCTAAGTTCGAGTGAGATCATCAACTAAAATAATAGAAAATAAAGTAGAGGTTAAGAAATAGAGAAATTCCAAATGTTGATCATCTGTTAAGAAGACAAATATTTAAAAGGAGATAAGGAATGGTAGTTAAACTGTACTTAGAGATTTCCTTCCTAGTTTACTTATCTCTCTCTTGTGAGCCAGTATCATAACTCTAACCTCTATGTTTTTTTTATAGTGGACTAGATGTCAATCCCACTATAAAACTCATTTTCTGAGTCTGGCTGTCAGCTTGATGAGCTCTTTGAAAAATAGTGAAAAACCCTTTTGTAACTGTCATTAAGCAGGTTCCAAACACATCATTTTCTGTACTTTGAAAATGTTGAGTACCATTATTTTATGCCTTAAATCTTTGTGGGCACTTAGACTTGGCTGCTAATTAGAACCAATTGCAACCTTAAATCACAAATGTGAGTTGTACCTTCGGCTGTAGTGCTCAGAGTACTCTACCTGTCTTCAAAGAAGGGGCCCTTCAGGTCCTCATTTCACAGACAGGGAAAAGGCTCAGTGCTCTGCTCCACACAGTAACTGAAACTGTACAAACCACAGAGCATGTGATTTTGATGTCAGGCTATGGAACTGGTTGGAAAAAAGGAAAAAAAAAGGAAGATACCCCACTCCCCAAGACTTTCATAGTGACAATGGGTTTAATTTCTAGGCAGAAATTGGTTTTAATTGTTTTCACATGCCAGAGTCTGGTATATTGTAGACATTGGTAAATACTAATTGATCATAGGCTGAGTGGATACCTAGGTGTATATGATATTTTGTGAAACATTCAGGGTCCTATTTGCCTTCCATAAGGAGGATCATATATCCTTCCAAAGGCCAAGGAGACAAACATTTGTCTTTGTCTCCCATTCCCCATGTTACACTCATGTAGAGTTTAAGCATTCACCACAGAGACAGACTCATCACCATTAGCTTCACTGTCTTTGAATTCAAGGAGCAGAAATATCTCTAAGGGGAGACACTGATCAAACTTATGGACCATTTTGATGTCAGCTGAGCACAGTGGGCCGATGATAAGCAGGGTAGAAGCAGGGAGTCCACAACACTGGGACCAAGACATTCAATCGAAATCTGTGGAATGGCTGTCAGCAGGGCTCATAATTATTTGCCTGTCTTTCAGGTGAACTTCAGGACGAAAAGTTGTTAACTAGTAGTTCCTTCTTGATTGTCTGGAGACTGCTTGATGATATCCACTGTTTCCTGAGTTGACAGAGCTTTTCAGAGAACTCTAAGAATGGTCCAACCCTGTCTTGTGCAGCTAATTAACCTCCCCTTGTCAATTGCAATGCAAGATTTTTTCTTGTTTTTGCTAGACAGTTATTATAATAAGCTGTTTCTTCAAAAGACTGTGATATGTGGGCCCTTTCTGTAAAAGACTTGGCATGCTTTATGCAGAGTTTTTCTATCTTTAGAGGGAGTAATAGGGCTGGGTCCTAGAAAAGCCGGCCTCTCTGACTGGCTGCTGCTCTTTGTTGTTCAGTTCTTACTCATCCCTGGCAAAGATCTTTCTCCTTTAACCCAACCCACTTCCACCCCATGTTCAGCATAAACCTGCCTGTCCCACCTCCTTTCTGTCTTATTCCTACAGGTGTGGGGATGTAATTGAAAAAGAAAATTGAGGTCAATGTTAAGAAGTTACCTGGCATGGAGGGTTTTAGGTACACACATTTTCTTTTCTCTCTACTCATCCTAAAGAAGCTTAGGCTAAACTAAGAACAAAAACCAAAAACCACAAAACTTAATTGCAAAAGCCTTAATTGGCTCAGAGGTCACTGATGGCCAAGAGGTCTTGATTACAGGAAGCATCTAGGCCCAAGTTGTTTGTGAGTCTTGAAGATTGGGAGACGTAGAGCGTGCAACCCCAGCTGTAGCCAGATGGCTTGAACTTTGAGAGCCACAGCCTGAGTCTCTTCATAGTTTTCTGTTCTCTCCTTCATAGTTTCATAGAACCCCTCAGCCTACTGCTCCACAGGTGAGCTTTAGGGTGGCCTTCAGATGAGATCTTTAAAAGGGACAGCCATTCGGCTGCCAAGACTTACTGTTTAAGGCAATAATAGTAATAAAAAAATGTTAATTGTGCCAGGATCCCCTTGGGGTAGTTCAAAGGGGACAAAAGAAAAACAGGATCTTTCAAACCTGTCATTTTAAAATATGCAGTGGCACTAAAGTGTGAGTCTGAATATTTTAAAGAAACATCAAATATTTTAAAAGGACTTTTCTGCAAGTGATAAGCTGGAGAATTTTACTTAAAAAAATTTGCACAAAACCTCCAAACTCATTCACTACTTAGTTTTTAGCAAATGGTTTCATTGTTTCCATTTTGAAAATGTTAATTACACAATTTCCCATCCAAGGGGAGAATATGAATTTGCATTATATTTTTTTCACCATAGCCCACATCCTATAGGTTTTTCTCATTCCAATAGTAGAATCTGGTTTGAGGCTGCAGTAAAGGTTAGGGAAAGAAAATGAATAATAGAAGGAAAGAGGAAAGTGAGAGGAACTGGTTAGTACTATGTGCTGGGTAACATTACTTGGTTCATCCCGAGGACGAATCCTGTGACCAGGGAATCTTTGTTTTACAGAAGCAGTAACTGAGATTTAAGGGAGTGTCACATAGAGTAAGAAGTAGAATTGATATTCAAACTTAGAACTCTCATCCTGTCTCTATTTCCATCTCTTTGCAAAGAGACAGTAAGAATTTCCTTGAAGACTTCTCAGGAGTGGAGAATCAGGAGTGGTAATAGCTTCTGATTAGAGAGAGCCTTAGTCCAACAAGTTGAGATGCAGGTAAACTCTGTGTAGTTACCACCTCCTGAAAACAGAGAGGTTTTAGCTTGTTCCTATTCATTTATGTTTTGGGCTCCACTTGCTTGCCTCCAAGGTCTCCTTTGACAAGCCAATTCCTGTCACTCCTGTTGCCAAAAGGGCTCACTTTGCAGCTTATTACTAATGCTCACCTTTTTATTTACAGCCATTTTCCAATTTCACCGGCTCTGTGAATGACCATGGGATCTGCCAGTGCTCCGTCTCCATGCCAGACACCACCTTTCCCGTGGTCAGAGTGGAACGCTTGGAATTCACAGCTCACATCCTTTCCCAGAAGTTTGAGACAGAGCTCTCTAAAGTAAGTGTTTTCAAAAAATGTTCTGATGATAACACACCAACAAGCAAAACAAAGCACATTCTTATTCAGGACATTAAAAACATTTTGTTCTTTACTGTAACAAAGATGGCATGTTGTATGGCATGGTGACTGAAATGTTTATTCTACAGCATATACAGTGGGGAAAAATGGGAACTCAACAGGAAAGCCGGGTCGAGGTTACTTACCTCAATCAGGGAAGTACGCATTCCAGGTTTGTGGTCCTCACACAGTCAGAAAGGGACTGTGAGTTTCCCTTGCAAACCTCAAGCCTGCTATTTTTATTTGGTTTTGTTATTTCTTCTTTCCTTTGGTTTTCTGCTAGATCTTTCCTCCAGCATTGCTTCCTTTTCTTTTCCCTTCTCCATCCTCTTTAGTTCTCTCTTTTTTATCTCACCTTTTATTCTGTTCCTAATCCATTCCTGCTTCCTTTTGTTTCTTACTCCTTTTGGCTCAGTCTGTCCTCTTGTGCATCCCTTCTAATTTTTCTTTAACTTTCCTTCTCAATTCTTAATTTTCTTCTTCTTCCTCTTTTTTGTTTTTTGATTCCTTTTGGTTGTCTCTTACTTTTATATGGCCCCTTCTCCTCCTTCTTTCTCTTTTCCCCCTTCTTTTGCCCCAATATCTTCTCTCTTTCTCTCTCCCTCTTTCCCTCCCTCTTTTTCTTTCTCTTTCTGTCACTGCCACTCTCTCTCTATGTATACATATTTACAGTTTGTTTTCTCCCTTCTTTTTCTCTTCGTCGCTTTCTTGGTATTTCTAGTCTTTCAGAAAGAGTATTTCATTAGGTGTGTCCAGCATTAGACCAACATTGAAGGTTTCACTGGGAATTTGAATCAAGACTAATAGGTCTTTCAGCCTTGGTTAAAACCCCAACTCGAACCCTTTGCTTATTGGCTTTTTCTAGCCAGCGGAGGTTACCCTAAAGAGTTTGTCTATTTTCTGAGCTGGCAATAGCAAAGTGATTTAGCATTCCAATTTTGACCCCTTTTAGTTTTTTAGCCAAGTTACAAATCAATTAGAAAGCCTCCTATTTTCTGCACAGGTGAAGTCCAAACTAAGGCCTAATTGCATTATGCATTATTTAACAGAATTTCATTAATTTACAAGGAGCTCTGGCTTTACTACAAGCTTCAAAATAAGTTTTCCTGAGAAATTTAAGTTTAGCCATCTCAACATCCAACGTAGTTATCTTTTAAAACAAAAATTATAGTGAGGCTGATATCCTACTTTCAATCTGAATTGGTAGATAAATATTCTTCAGTTTAAATGAGCATCCAAGAAAATGTGTTTGACTACTCCAGGAACCTAGCTTCTTAAGAAATAAAATGTCCTTGAATTAATCAGCAGAAAAGGCACAGCACTAAATTATAAATTCCAATCATTAATATTCATAGCTTTATTCTAGCATAATCAAGTACAGATAAGAAGTTATGCATAAAAACAACAAGTAGAGGAAAATCCTAGGTAAAGATCTTTTCAGTTGGAGTCCTTTGCTTTGAAATGGTGGAAGCGACTGATTTGCATGTAGTCTTTGCTGCTAGGCATGTGAAAGGTAGTTTGAAACCCTATGCAGCTCCAGGGAGGGTATTCAGCTTGCCAGGCTTGTGAATATGGGGACATTTAATTCCAGTCCTGTGGGGGGAGGGGGCAGGTGGCATTGGCTTTGCTAATTGGTAGAGAAGAAGGGCAGAGTAGGTGGGAAAGCTTTTACCCTGAAAGGTTCAGCAGCTGATCCAAAAAAAAAAAAAAATTGTGTTTGAGGCCTGAAAGAATTTACCTGCCAGGTGGGATTTACAGAATTGATTTGGTAGGACAGGGTATAATAATGATGACAATAATAGCAGCTTTCACTTGTGTTTTCTAAATGTTTCCAGCTCTTTTTTTCCTTGCAAGCCAGTCTTTAAGGCAGATAGACCGGGTATCCTCCTCCAGGTGTCACAAAGGTAAAGGGGCTTCCCCAAGGTCATTCCTCTTTTGGCTGGTTGAACCAGATCAGGAATTTGAGTGTTGGGAATCATCCCTACTCTCTTTCCTCCTGACTAGGCTATTATCAACCTCTAGTACAGACCAAAGAAGAGATGCAGTAGATCACTAACATCTTCAAACCAGAAGTTATCTCTTTAGCTGAGGACTTTTCTATTTCCAGGTGAATTATTGTAGCTGTCCCTAGATAGCCTTGGAAATCACCATTTATCGAGGGGCCTGGGGGAATGTCCATTTTGGGCAGGTCAGTAGAAAAGGATTTTGACTGCCTTACATTGATTCATCATCTGTCAGTACACAGAGAAGCTAGGGAACTGCCTCTGTGTAAGATGCGGAATGACTTTTATACTTTTCTGTTGTTTATGACATGTCTTTCTGCGGCTGTGCTAGGAAGGGGACATGACAAAGGGCAGCTCAGGACTTTTTCTTTCTCTAGAGGCTTATGGTCTTTGGGGCAAGTTATTTAATATGACACATTTGCTAATAGATCCTCATGCATGAGAAGGCTGAGGCAACCTGGGAGACATTTCGGCAACTCATAAACAAACAACATTGATTGAGCAATGTTTTGTGCAGTGAAATATAATAAATTAAAAGGTCAGATCAGAAAACACTGAAATCACTGCTTCTTTATTAATTTCTATAATTTGTAGGACATCCATTAGCTAGGCACTTAATGTACATTATCTCTAGCCTTTATAATAATTTTATAAGCTTGATACCATTATTAATGGTTTGGGAAGAAAACTAAGGCTTAGAGAAATTAAGTGATTTCTCCACTAAGAACTGAAGTTGGAAGGGGGAAAGGAAGGAAGGGAAAAATGAATAGAAGGAAAAAATGGAAACAAAGCTTTTGTAAATAAAGAGAGGAAGAGGGGTTGAAGGGAGTGGAGAAGAATGGGAAAAAAAGAAGAAAACAGTTATATCATGTACAGGTACAAATTCCTCGTGATGAACGTTATCATTATGTATATCTAAATTATACCAATAAAATTCATTAAAAAAAGAAACTGAAGTCAGATTTGAGCTCAGATTTGAGATCTAGAACTGAAGTACTCTGTGTTTTAATGGTTACTTCAGGCTCATTTAATTTAGCTGCATTTATTTTTAAGTAATGTTGAGAATAACAGTTTGTTGAAAAGTCCTTCTTTTAAGTAATCTGGCCATAGATATGATCACAGGCTTTGAGAAACTGACAGAAATATGAACCAGAACCACACTAATGCTTTAATTTAATAGCTAAATTAAATAGTATCATATAAGATATAATACTTTACTACAGGACCACATTTTGTTTATTTATTTATTTATTTGTTTTTGGTACTGGGGATCAAACTTGGGACCTTGCGCTTGCAAGGCAGGCATCGGAACCACTGAACTAAATACCTGGCCCCACATTTTATTTTTGTAAAAAAATAGCAACCACCTAAAACCTGACCTCTAAACAAACTTTGATTCTTTATGACTAAGTGCATAACAGATAAAATAAAATGGCAGCTCTGAACGTTAGCCTAGTAGTTTGAACACACATGATGCTCTTGAAATGCTCAAATTTGTAGTCATGATGAACTTGGAGGGAAGACGTTGATACAGCTATATGTCCACTCAAGATGAGATCCATATTCTTCCTAGAATGTTTTGTAGTATCCCTGGCCTCTAGATGTCAGTAGCACCCTCCCCCTGCCCCCCACCTCCTGGTTGTGACAACCAGTGTGTCTTCAGAAATTGCTGAGTGCTCCCTGGGAACAAATCCCTACTGCCGCCACCACCACCACCGCCTCTGCCACCCTGTTCAGATCCACTGCTCTAAATCCAAGTATTTTCTTTAAAAATGGAGAAATTAAGTACAATAAATGCCAGGAAAATGGGGCTAGACACATCCCTGAGCAAATCTGGCTGCCTCTGTGGGGCCTGTATCTCCTAGGAAGAGCAGTAATATTCAGTATTACTCATGCTATCCAATGTAACTGATCCATACATGTGAAAGATTGTTGCTAATAATCTGCTTTAGTTAGTAAAGTTCAAACTGGGAAATTTTTCAGGCCCATCCATCTTCAAATTCTCTCTTGGCTTCTATAATTCTGTAGATAATTCCTTCTATAATTCTATGGATAGTTCCAGTTTTCCTGAACACCACTGAGCTTTCCTTTAAATGTCAGCTGAAAGAACCTCAAAAAAAATTTTTTTTGTCCCAAATAGATTGTGCGATCTTTCATTTGTAGCTGACTAGGGCAGGCTACATACCTTCTCACAGGTCACAGACTCCAGGCTATGCTTTGATTTCCTGTATGAATCAGGGAGAGCCACATTTTACTCAGCAGAGTTGACAGTTGAATCATTCATTTTTGCAGAACAACAGCTGTGACGTGCCACCAAAATGTTCCAGGAAAGCTGAGAGGGTATTTCATTTGTTCCAAGAGCTGCCAAGGTCAAATGTCAACCAGTGCATTCATTTCTCAAACTTCCATTTCTACATGGACTGGCACTCTATTATTATTATTATTATTATTATTATTATTATTATTATTATTAATCATAGAAAAGGTTTTAGGCCCATTTTTGTAGAAATTAAAACCTGGCTACCTTATATCTCTGTGTATATTTTGGAGAGAAAATTGCTTTGTTATACACTCCCCACACAACTTTTTAAACCTGTTTATCCATCAAAATATCACAAGCCCTAACAGCATCCAAGTGATGGCACATCTGATGGCAGTGAGCATCAGTGGCCTGAGGAGATACACTCGCAGTGCCAAGGGTTGTATTTTCAACTTTCATTAAAATTCTTTTTGCCTGAAGCCCTAGCCCTTCAGATCTGTGGCCTGTGAGTCTACTCTAATTTGCACAGTGGGGTTAAGTGGAGGGCTAAAATGACAGAAGTTAGGGCTGCCTTTGGAAGGATTAGAGGTCAGCATGTGTCTCTGCACTCATCCAGGAGCTGTGGATCAGCTACTTGACATTAGTGCAGTTTGGGGAGAAGCATCACTTGTAATCAGGCTTTTGAAAAGAAAGTAAAACCAGTAACTTTTAATGAGCAGTTTCTTTAAAAAGCCATGACATTTCTTCTAGAGATCAGACATAGAAAATACCACCAACTGTTTATTGAAATATCCATTTGGAGATTCCAATTATACACCAAATCACCAAGGGAATTTTTGAAAGTATTTTAACTTAATGATCAGACATTCAAATATATGCAACAAATGTGTAATTTAAAGGTCTGATTGCAATAATCAGTTCTTGGAATAAATGTGAATATACTTAATGAAATGTGCACTTTACAGTTTCACACACACTCATACATTGTGTAGTAAGTTGGGTCTTTATGCCATTTTGTAAAAGGCAGGCTCAAAACTCATTGCACATGATCATCAAAGATGGAATTCTACTTAATAATTTCTCATTTTTCTATAAAATCCTTAAATTTAGGGCAATGATTCTAAACAAAGAGGGTGATAGTGACTTGGTCCCCAGAGAACATTTTACAATGTCCTGAGAGATTTATGCTTGCCACATCTGGTGGGTAGGAGGATGCTAGTGGCATATGGAGCAGCTGAATATCCTGTAGTACACAGCAGAGCCTCCCATAAGAGATCTACCTAAAATGTCAGTAGTGCGGAGATTGAAATACCCCAATGTACAGTAAATGTATTGAAAAGAAGAGGGATAGAAAGAGACTCCGAGTCAAATCAGTTTAGTTTTGGGAGCTACTGTTTTCAAATGTTAAAACAGAGATTGAAATATATTCGGTAAGTGCAATCTTGGCCCCCAATTAAAGTAATATTTTCCTTTTAGTTTGCATTTAGATGGTGAGGTAGTCAGCTTTTCCATTGCTGTGACCAAATACCTGAGACTAACACTTAAAAGTGAAAGGTTTACTTTGGCTCATGGTTTCAGATATTTCAGTCCATGGGCAGCTGGCTCCATTACTTTTAGACCTCTGGTGGGGCAGAACATTACGGTGGTAAGGTGTGGAAGAGAGAAGCTGCTAGTTTCATGTCAGTCAAGAAGCAGAAAAAGAATAGTTAGCAAGAGCCTGTGCTAGCAGCCTTCCTCCTCCTGCTTTTGTTCTATCCAGGCCACTATCCTACTGGATGGTGCTACCTACTTTCAGGGTGTGTCTCCTCCTTAGTTTTCTGTCCCACATGCCAAATATCTGGAAATACCTTCATACACACACATAGAAGTGTGCTTTACTAATTCCTAGGTGTTTCTTAATCCAATTAATCAATTAATTAAGATTAACCATCACAGATAGATTTTAAGAACTTGGCGAAGTATTTTTGGTTCATTGCTTTACAAAACAAAAAAAATGATTGATGATTTACAGGAATCCAACAGTGTTCAAGAGTTTTATTGTGAAGGAAGACTCTTCAATATTACTTTGGGAATTGAATCAAGGCTTTTGATTCCCTTTCAGGTGAAGGAATATGTCCAATTAATCAGTGTTTATGAGAAGAAGCTCTTAAACTTAACTGTCCGAGTAGAAATCATGGAGAAGGATAGCATTTCTTACACTGAACTGGACTTTGAGCTGATCAAGATAGAAGTGAGGGAGATGGAAAAACTGATCATACAGCTGAAGGAGAGTTTTGTTGGAAGCACAGAAATTGTTGACCAGCTAGAAGTGGAGGTAAGGAGTGAACTCACTCATTTAACAGCATATTGATATTAAACTCTTTTCAGTGACTATGGGAAAATGCTAGACTTGGAGAGAAATCTCTCTTTCACCAATTCTAATACTATCACTCCCTCATGACACACGTCACATCCATGTTCTGCTTTGGGTAGATGTCTGTTTTTGTGTAGTAAGTTAAGCACATTGGGAACATGTTGACTGAGGAGCAGGTGTTGTTTAATGGTCAGAATCCTGCCCCATAACCAAATAGTCCTTCAAGTTCTTCAGAAAGAAAGTGACATGAATCTAACCAGCTGTCCATGGCCTTGCTATATCAGGTGTTGTTTCTGCTCTGGATTTATCCTAATGGGTCTAGAAATCCACAATATACCTGAATGTGAACATGTCAGAACACTGTTTGTCCTTTTGAATGGACGTCTAATCTTGATCCCTCTTGGAATTCTTCTCCCATACTGGTAACCTCATTTAAGAAATTTTTTTGTGAGTATGTTTTAGTGAAGGCTTTTAAGATCTGTGGTAAAGACCATCATATTAACGTTATGGTTGGGTAATTTACATCAATGAACATTTACTTGCACAGTCATGACATGGGCAATAATTGAGAATTCTAGTTACATATTTTAGAATTTAAGTTTTCTTGAGCCCTCATCATTCATTAGAAACTTAATTATAATACAACATGAGTAAACATGAGTTTATAGGGGGAGGTTATTATAAATGAACTTTAATGGACATTTATGGATGCCTAGAATGAGTCTGTGCTCTATTATTGAAGCTGTTAAAATATTTGCCATTTTCTTCTTGTTACACACATCTGCCTGAGATCTGACAGGCGTTCACACTAAACCATAAAATGTATTCTTCCAAATGAAACCATTCAGGAGAATCTCTGGTGTATTCTGCAGCAATGTTTCACTAAATGACAAATTCAGCCCTGGAATGTTTATGAAAGAAATTGCACAATAATATAAAGTCACTCTGAATTTTTATTTCCTTAGATAAGGAATATGACTCTCCTGGTAGCGAAGCTGGAGACATTAGACAAAAACAATGTCCTTGTCATTCGCCGAGAACTTTTGGCGCTGAAGCAAAAGCTGAAGGAATGTGAGGCTTCTAAAAGTGAACATGCTCCTCTCCTGCCCCCTCCTCCCGCTCCAGGTAAGCACACCATATTTTTATGAGCCATGAGTGGCCTGGGAAAGGGATTTGGGATTGTAGTGGTAGAGGTAGGGTAGCATTTTTATTAAGTTTACTCTTCCATATTTTAAATCCCCTCTTCCCTCCTAGGCCCCTTGATCTTCTTCAGAGGACCTTTCTCCCTCCTCGGGATAGTTTCACTATCATATTTTGGGGTTCATAAAGAACACAAACAGCTGATTTAAAACAAAATCCACAAGTTACACATATTCCGTTTGCACTTACTAACAGGGAAAGCATCTCTATGGTGATAGAGGAGCTACCAGGGGCCCTGGGGAAAGCCTAAAAAGTCTTTGCAGCATCTGCTTTCCTAAGGACAGTAAAGGCTGATTGGCTCATTTATCTGATGAGCTGGGTGTGTGGCTGGATTCTGCTGCCATTCCTCTCTCCTGGCCTCTCTTCTTACTCCTCTTTACTTTTCCTGGTATTCTTCCCTTAAGTGGACGTTGAGCTCCTGCTGCAGTGTGTTGTGAGGTTCAGTGAGGACAAAACGGATGGCCCCATGTTGTGGTCTTTCTGGCTGTGTTTTGCCATCTGTCCAGGACTGTGAGTCTCTGGAGGGCAGTGCAGCATCTCATTCTTTCACCAGTTCTCCTGGGGTTAACCATGTCTGGAACAGGGAGTTCTGTGAATATACCCATCAAAGGAGGCATCCAAGTGGAGGCCTCAAGAGCACAAGATGGCAATCCTGAAGACCTGAGCTTCCCTGCTATGTGGCTATGAGACAACATCCTTAATTTCTTCACTTGTAAAATGGGAGAATAATAGTACCTACGTTGTAGGGTTGCTATGGGGATTAATAAAGCAGCACTTGGGGAGCTCAGGGCTCTTTAATCAGCACCTATACCCTGCAGATGGAAAATATTAGTAATGATGATAATTGCAGTGAAAGCCTTGCTATGAACAGAAGCAAGGCTAGAACCTTGCATTGAAGCACATCCCTCCCCAGGTAGACTAAAGGCAGCCTCTTGGCTGCAGCATTCAGCCCTATCCTTTGGAGACCCCTGTCACAGGCAACTTCTCTCTATAGGCTGTGAGCATCTCAGATGCAATAGGACTGTCTCTTTTCATCAGATCATACAGCCTTTGTTATACTTATTCATCCCATTCCTCACAATGTTTTCTTTTGGACTGTGCATTTCTGGTTCCTTGTTAGTGCAGCTGATTTGTTTAAGATATCTATTAGATATGACCCTACATATAAGCCGCTTAATCTTGTTCAGGGGATACTTTTCTTGCCTACAGCTGGGAAGCTGGCCTGGTGCAACATTAGAGGATGTTTAGGGCAAAGACCAGGTTCTGTGCTCTGTAACAAACTAAAGCTAAATTTGGTCTTGGATCAGTGGTGTAAATATGTGCTGGAAGTGAGAGATGGTCTTTTGGACCACAAGGGCTTGCTGAAGCAGAAATCAAGCAATATGACAATCTCTGATAATCAGCAAACAAATGTCTCCCTCCCTCAGAAAATATCCCTCATGGAATGGGTGTTTTTTTTTTTTGTTTGTTTTGTTTTTGCATAGTCTTCTATAAGTATCTTAGAATAAGGACAGTTTAGGGCAAGAAGGGACATTTGGGGCCATTGAAATTATCCCATCCATGTCTTAGAGAGGGGATTTGGGTAGCAAGGATGTTGCTTTGCCTGAGGCCACACAGGTAGCTGGTAACAGAGCTGAGTTGAAATTCAAGGGTTTTCATTATCTGGTCATCTAGGACTCCCTGACATTTGAGAGTCAGGTGTTAGTAACTCAAGGGTGATTGTGAGGGACAAAACACTCTGCTTAGTGACTAGGGAGGAAAACAAGTGAGTCTATTGGAATTTTTCCAGGATTTCCCCCTCAGCCCTTACACTTAGACTTCAGCGAACCATCTCAGCCCTGCTGTGTTGTTTAAGCGAATTGAACCCAGAGTTCCCCTCACACTCCCACAACTTTGGCTGTACCTGGGGCCCTGCCAAGCCACTTGGCCCTCCTCCAGCTTTGTTCATATTATATTTATGATGTTTGTACTAAAGTGACTTTTGTCCTGCTTTTAAATCAATTTCTTTCACTTGCTCTCTTTCTGTTTGGATTGGTTGATAATGCAGAATTGGAAAATCCCCAGGCACCACAAAGTTGTGAGCCCGTGGAGACTTTAATTAAAGTTACTCACTATTATGAGACTTTAAAATCTGGCCTGTCTGCTTTTTTTCATTGCAGAGTTGCACACAACAAAAAGGACTGTGTGCAAATCTCAGCTAGAAAGTAATTCTGCATATTCTGGGGTCCTCCCTTGCGGCTGTAGTTTGTTAACTCTGTGGTCAGCTTGATCTTATAATCAGTACATGTATTTTGGGTTTAAAAATGCACTTTATGTATATATTTTTGCTGCAGATAATATCCTTTTCTGCTTCAATTGATAGAACTATCTAATTTAAAATAGTTGGGCTTCTCCTCATTAACCTTTTCCCTTAAAACAACTGACTTCACTTGCTGTTTTTCCTCTGAATCTAAATAGCTGAACATTGGCAACATGTAATGGGAATGCTTTAGGATCAATCACCATTTTTCTTGGTGATGTTGGGTTCTGCTGGTACATAGTAGCTGCTCAGTAAATGACTGGTAATTGAATGGGGTATGAAAAACAGGATGACCTGCTAAAATCCCAGCGTTAGAGATGTCTGTTAACCAGCAGATTTCCAATAATTCAGAGTCAATTTAGTCTTACTTATTTTACGATTATGATGATTTTAATTGCCTAATTGTTACAAATCAATCATATTTTATCTCCCTTTGGTTCAAACAAAGTTTAGTTGCCCAGGTGAGAGAGTGCATTTTTAGTGCATTGACCTAAGATTAAAGTTTTGCTTCAGGTATAGAATTTTTGTTTTTGTTTTTTTAAAAAACTACCCATTTTTGTTGTTGTTGTTGTTTTTCGTTTTTTTTTTTTTTTTTTTTTGAAATAGAGTCTTGCTATGGAGATCAGGCTGACCTTGAACTCACTATGTAGCTCAGGCTGGCCTTGAACTTGCAGTGATCCTCCTGCCTCTGATTCCCAAGCTCTGGTATTACAGGTGTGCACCACCACACCCAGCTCCGTGATAGTTTTAAAAAGCCAAAAAAGAAGATAGTTTAAATTCTCACTGCTGTGGCTTCCCTGGATATTTTCAGAATACCAGGGGAAGATCTAGTGAAGTGCATGGGGAAGAGATTGCCAACCAATACTGCACCTGTAACTTGTTCCTCGTGTTATGTTCTGTGGAGTGCACAGTAAGCTCTCCGGAAAATCAGATGTGCAGCAGGGTGGGGAGCTAGGGCTTTGTACATGAGGGTTAGCCAGAGTCTAGGTGATTTGATTAGTCTTCTGTTCCTTTATCCCACAAATATAATTTGGTGCCGTTGTGTGGCCCAAATACTGAGTACTGGGGTTACCGGAGTGGACAAAGAAACCACAAGCCACTACCAAGGAAAGGACACAGTCATGTAACCCTTCACCTGTAATGTGATAGGATTATAATGATGATTGTTGCCATTTATTGATATATTTTACAAACTTTCTTTTCTTTCCAACAGTCTCAGAGTATTATTTTTCTTTAAAATGAGGAAACAGGCTCAGTACAAAAAATAAAATTATTGGTATAATAGTAGTAGTAGTAATGTTTGAGAAGTTTATTTTGGTTCCTTCAGATTTCCACATGTGGAGACAAAATGGTTTATCTTTAAATGCATAATAATGCTTGAATGAGTTATATACATTATAAAATTTCCTGAAATACTTTGTTACTGTTGGTTTGTGATATTTTCTTTCTAGAAGGGCAAGACTCAATGAAGCAAACAATTCTTAAACCTTCCCACCTGAAGGAGAAAAAGTGACTTTCTTTCATTTCCTCACAGTGAAATGCAGTTGAATAGCTAAGTTCTCAGAAAGATATTTTAACTAAAAAATCCAGTTTATAGCATATGGAAACTGGAACAGTTATTGTTCCCATTAAAGTGAACACACCACTAACTTTATTTTAATAATTCATGCATTGTTTCATAAACAAAAACAAACAGACATTCATCTGAGAGATCACTTTTAGGAGGAGAAATAATAATTTATAATTTTATTTATTATTTCTTTAGTGGAGAGCAGTCTCTTGGCTGAACACATGTTGCTCTTTTATTTATGAAATGGTGCATGCATTATTAAAATAAACCTGTGACTGTGTTCTGTTTAATGATATGCAAAATTATTTGAGGTTGGGTACAGAGTGGTTTCATTTTTCTTCCTGTTGTATGGTTGGCTGGCTTTCCACCAACTGTGGATATATGAGAGCATTTAAGGAGCACATATTTAATTTTGAGACCAAACAGTCCCTGCAGATTGGAAAAATAAAAGCAAAATTCTATGAATGGTTTTACCTCTGAGCAGTTCTTGATGACGAGGAGAGAGGAAAGCATGTAACAAGGAAAGGAATGGGTCTCTCCATATTGGACAGAGGCAGAGGCTCAGAGACAAGTGCTCTGCTCCCTGCATCTCCACAGTGCTAATCTCAGGCAATTCTTTGGAGCTCTGCTTTTGGCTCCAGCTCACTTATGTACCTTCTATAGCTCCCTGATTTCCTCCAAGCATTTAAAGTCAGACCCCATGATTCAAATTCTGTTCCTTCCTTCCCTCACCTTTTCTGCTCTGAGCAGCAGGATGAGAGAAAATGATCTTTCATGTACTTGAAGTTGGATTTTGTTTGTTATCAATAAACCATATCACCAGTTTTTAAAAGGAAATGGTATTGGTTAAGATCCCAGAAAAATATATATCAAACTCTTTGTTTTGTTATTCTAAAAATACTGGAGGAATTTTATTTCATTTTCTATAGCTCATAAACGCTTTGGGTTTGCAGGCATTTCAGAGGGACTGTAATGTGAAGGGCCAGTTGCCCAGCCTGAGTCATTTACCCAAGTGTTACGGGGAATGCAGATTCAATGGACTGGTGCATCTGGTCCCACTTGATCGTACATATTGTGACAATGACCGTATCAGAATATGAAGGAAGTACATGCCTGTCATTCCATGACACAGCAGCATATGGGTTATGAACAGCAGGACTCGACTCAACTCACAGCAAGATGGTCACCCAGTGATTTATGTGATGGGCTGTGCACTTGGCACAGGACAGGCATTGCTGCCCTGAAATAACTTCCTGTCTTCTCAATGTTGAAATCCCACCATTATGTGACCGTCTTCCTGGACCTATAAAATGCTGTATTTAAAGCTCCCTCTTCTGAGATTAGCTTGGCGCCTTGTATGCATATGTACTCAGGCACCCTGGGAAGGGCATGGAGACTCAGCCAGAACCATTTTCTCCTTCATCACAATTATCCCTGGGGCTGACTAGCACCTTCTGACTTTATGAAAATAGGATAAGATTCTGGGGTGATTGTATTTTCTTTATTTCTGTATATGAAAAATGAAGTAAGATAATATTTGCAAAAATGCTTTCTGTTAGAAGAAAGTATATTAATTTACTTAGTTTTCCCCATTTTTTGCTCTCTGGGTTCTCTAAACCTTTGAATATGGCTCTTGGCATGTTCATTATTTCTATTTCCCAGACTGAGAGCTCATCCATGGAAACAAAAGGTGGTCCTCTGTAGGTCTGACAGTGGATTCACATGAGATTAAAACCAAGAGGGCTTTGTGCTCTTCTCCATCTGAGCTGTTGTTGGCATTGAACCTTGACAGGAAAAGTATTGATGGATGCTCTGTTTTGGGGATATCACATTGTTTGTATCCTGTTGTTCATTTTCTCTAAGAATGTCTTTTTGAATTTTTTTTTCTGTATAGGCAGCTGTAGTCATGGAGGTGTGATGAACATCAGCAGACCATCTGTGGTTCAGCTCAACTGGAGAGGGTTTTCCTATAAGTATGGTGCTTGGGGTCGGGCTTATTCTCCTGAACATCCAAATGAAACACTGTATTGGGTAGCACCTTTGGAAACAGATGGGAGGGTACTTAAATATTACAGACTCTACAACACATTGGATAACTTGCTGTTGTACACACAAGCTCGAGAATCTCTAATTTCCTACGGCCAAGGTAGTGGTGCAACAGTTTACAACAACAACATGTATGTCAATTGGTATAACACTGGGAACATTGCCAGAGTTAACTTGACCACCAACACCGTGGCTGTGTCTCAATGGCTCCCTTATGCTGTCTATAACAACCGTTTTTCATATGCTAATGTTGATTGGCAAGATATTGACTTTTCCGTGGATGAACGTGGACTGTGGGTGATTTATGCAACTGAAGCCAGCACTGGTAACATAGTGATAGGGTTACTCAATGACACCTCACTTGAGGTGCTAAAAACTTGGGTTACCAAGCAGTATAAGCCATCTGTTTCTAGCACCTTCATGGTATGTGGGGTTCTCTATGCCACCCGTACTTTGAATACCAGAACAGAAGAAATTTTTTACTACTATGACACCAACACAGGTAAAGAAGGTAACCTGGCCATTATTATGCCTAAGATGCAGGAAAGAGTACAGAGTATTAATTATCACCCCTTTGACCGCAAACTTTATATCTATAATGATGGTTACCTTCTGAATTATGATCTTATCTTCCAACAGGAACCCAAATAAAGTATCTAGGTGTTAGAGTGAAAAAGAAATAAAATGTTTGTTGTAAAAAGTCTTCTCCTCTTATTTAGATATCTGCAGGAGAATCTAGAAGTATTTTTCTTTAGTAGTGATATTTAGGTGCACAGTCCTGAACACTTAGGATATTTGCTCTGATTTGATTAGTTATCTTGGTAATCTTCTGCTCCTTGAGATATATTTCCCAGTGGAAGTAAAGTTCTTTCAGGGTGGAATTGCTAGAGGTGAATGGGCACAATGCGTCTAATGGAGCCTACAGTAAGGAGGCAGGTGGAAACTAAGAAACTTGAATTAGGGAACTCAGTATAGATTCTGTTGGTCCTTTGTACAAGAAAATCTGTTCAATGAACAGTCCTTGTTTATTGTAGTCCTTTCCATGCCTAAAAAGAACTTGGGGCTTAATTTAGCAGATTAATATCTGAAGGTGCTTGAGTGACTGAATCCCCAACTTTGTTTTCTCACTAGCTCTTAAAATAATGCTATGTAAATACTAGATAAGTAAACTTGGCAGTCTTTGTGATATCTGTGAAGTTCTCTGAGTTTTCCAGAGAAAGGACCTTTTATACATTAAATTGTATACTGCCAATCAATTTCAGAAGGATCTTCAGATGAGGCACTTAATTTTGTTTTCTTTCCTTTTCTACCAATTTAAGAGTCAGTAGAACACTTTGTAATTTAATTTGAAAGGCAGGTCAGGAAACTAGAATCAGACTTCCAGTCAATTCTCCCAACCCGTCTCTACTTCCGGCATGGTTTTTTGGTAAACAGCAATAACAAGAACAATAAACATTAGCCAATTTTCTATGGGATAGTCGTAAGGTAAAAAAATTAATTTTCTTTTGTCTCATCATGAACTTTTATTTAGATGGCTCTAGATAAAAATAAAATCAGACGTTAGTGATAAAATGGTAGCATTTATGATTATAGAATAAATACTGGGAGCATATGTGGGAGTTGTTTGTATCAATTGTTTCATGTAATTTTTGTCTTTGTTTAAACCTGGAACTTAGAAAAAGTGAAAATTTAATTTTTTCATAGGAAGAGATATCAAAAATCTATGTAAAGTATCTGATAAATCAATGCAGGAGTTGAAAAATCTTACAGGTTTAGGTGGTTCTGTGCTTTTGGATGGCTTTATCATCTGGTTTTAGCTATTTTACCTGATGTTTAATTCCTAGTCTATAGGACTAGCTATTTTAATGCTATATTCCTCTTTTTTTATGTAAATGATTAAAATGTGCTTTGGAAAAAACAATTGTCTTTAATTTATTTTTTTTAATTACAAAAAAGATCCAACAAAGTCTTTTATTTTTTTTTTTTACAAGAAAACATTTTATTTTAAAAAACAACTGAGAAAACTTTGTTAATATGTTTAAAAGGGTAGTCTACATCTTGCTATAGAGAATGGCTTCCTCCCAAACACCTATGGCTAGGATATCACACACCTAATGACATAATAGCCATAACTTTAAAAATGAGTCCAAGGTTGCGCTACCGTTTTAGTTCTCATTTTTCTTAAAGATTCATTCTTTCTGGCAGCTGTTATACTGGACTGCCTTGTCATCTTTTGGGATATGACCTTAGTAGTTATTAATTTGCATGACTGATCTGATTATTTCCAATGCTAGACCATATTTGTGTGCCTTGTGTTCCTTTTCCAACTGAAATACTAAATAACATAGATCAGAAGCCTGTGGCTCTCCCTCAAGCAGGAGGTCTTGGACAGAAATTAAAAGGACTAACTGCCTACATCAAGAAGCAAAGTACCTTTACCAAAGAGAATGTGTAGGGGGACAAGTGGCCTAGATGAGAAGAACAGATAGACGAAACTGATGTAATAGCATTCCTACTGAAATACTTATTTTAAATCCATGCCAAGCTTTTTGAGGCAGCTGGAAGTTACAATGTTTACTATTTTTAGCAAGGTTTTTCTTCTATTATTTATGAGCTACCTGTAGAGATAGGTACGGCCTTCAAAATGCAACAAGATATGAAGCTAAAGACATATGCATTATGTGAGACATAGGTTAAAAACAATGATGTTATATTTAATCTGGCATAAGACAATTTTCTAGATGAGTGTTTCTACCAAGTACACAGTATGTCCTCTGAAGAAGTGGGAAAGGAGACAGGGAGCTGAGGTAACCCCAGCAATCAGCTTCTTATTCCAACTACCACAGAAGCATTTGCCTGAACCTCCCTCCCATTGGCATAGTGTCAGCCTGCAGTGGCTACCTGCAGAAAATCTTCCCCTGGGAAGGTTGAATTACCAAGGAATTCAGGTTCCTGGGTTTTCTGCAATGCAGTTACACAGTAAACAATTTAACTCAAGATTTATCACCTAATGATTGCTTGAAATATCTATCTATCTATCTATCTATCTATCTATTTATCTATCTATCTATGGTTTATTGAAATACACTTTACATATGATAAAACTTGCCAATTTTTAGTGTAAAATTCAATGAGTTTTTAAAAAAATTCTTTTATTGGTACATGTTAGGTATACAACACTTTTACATTTCTCATTGGGAATTGTACCTTTACATAACGCATCTTGGTTCTTATTTTTTCCCCATTCCTAGCCCTCCCTTCATGCCCTCCACCCTTCCCTATTTACAAAGACTTTATTTCCATTTTTTCCATT